CAACAACACACGCTAAAAACGCAAAGGCTCATCGGTAGACGCTTGTTTGTAAACAATGACACGCTATGGCCATCTGACGCATGCGCAGGTGCCGACTTCTCCGCTTTAAGTTAAGCATTCAATTTCGCCATTTACAGATAATGCTTTGATGAGCAAATAACCATGGCTGACTCCGTGAAAGTGACTATTGTCAATTCATATTTCTTATATTGCCTACATTATTTGCCATTTATATAACGCGGACACTGTTTACCTGTTGTATAGTTTTATGTCTGGTTTCCATACCAACGAAGAGGGCAGGATTATCTGGTCAATCCCGCCGTACCTGTGTTGTTGCCATGATAGAATTTCGTCTTGCCATCGCTGGTAAGAATTCAGAAAAAAATTATAAACAATTAGAGTATTACAGACCCCACTGTCACATGCAGAAGGGATTATTTCAGTGAGTACGAGTATGTACGCAAAGGACTTACGCTGATATCTACACGTAAGCTACACCACGTAAGTATATATTCTTACCTGCCTAATCCATACAGATAGCACGATGTACTGTTCTATTCCCACCTGAAATGCGAAGAATTAAATAAAATTTTAATACATCGTCTTCCGTGTTGTGGCTATGTAATGATGCGCTATCTTAGCGTCGCCCGGCTCGGTTGAGGATACACACGTGATAATAATATAAATGCGATATTTACTATATGTGGCCGCCATCTTGAATGCGGCATAAAACTAAATAAGAGACAAGTTGTGAAACGCGTTTTTCAGATTCCGAAAATCAGGACAAAAATGCCAACTTTTCACAGAAATACGATCCGTTGGGGTAATATGAAACTAACCGATAACAAAATTCGGTTGAATTCGTCGTTTTTGAATGGAAAAAATCCCTTAAATACGAACACTTAATTACACGAAGAACATAGATTTGATTTTCTTATCACGTGTGCGCCAGCTGACTGTGGTTGAGACAAGCACTCGCGATCGTTGACCTTAACCTAGGTTCTCTCGAAGGTCACATCGGCTAGTGAAGTTATAGTGTTTATCTAAATATATACAACAAATGTCGATTTATTATGGAGATGTGAAAGGTCGCTACAACTTTATGTGGAGGTTCAACTAAAATTAAGCTAATATATAAATCCCGTCGTTGTAAATGTGTCATCATTTTATTAATACTACCAAATGCATCTAGGAAAGTTATTGACACTCCTGAGATTTTCTTCTGATTGAAACTTCTCTAAATTTTGTCTTAATCCTCAACAAATTAATATGTGAGTGCACAAGAGACAACGCCAGGCGTGGCAGACGTATATATTAGTCTTTTTCCGTACATCAATTTTGCAAACCATCGCATACTACACGTAACCTTCCGTCCGGCTCATACCGTACATACGATCAAATTAACATTCACAATGAAGAAGAATACGTCGGCATAAAAGCAGTAAGAACAACATTTACTTGGTCAAACTTGACGACAGCACAGCGAGGAAGGGCGTGAAAGTGGCGGTTGAAATGTGCCATTTTTTTTCTCCTTTTGTTTGTTTCATCGAGCGGGTAATTTGCTCAGTAGATTGCTATCAATATATCGATATTTCCGTCAGACACGTGTAGCTTTTCAATACATTCTAAATTAGTCAACGCAGCTTAAATACATTTCTCAATATAAGACCACTTATAATTTCATCTTTTGTTAGCCAGTGTCCGAAATTAGTCGTGATATTAGTCCATTGTAAGATAATGTATACCATGGGTATTTTGGCTATTGTGACATAAAATTACTAATTGTATTGCTTGAGGTCATGACCGGAGAAGTGACATATATGTGAACCTTCGGAGATGCCGTCCGATCATTAGCGAAAACGTGCGTCGAGTCATTTATCATTATTGACATTGGTATGTAAGCATACGTGGTTTGTTTAGAGATGAATACTGGTATGCGAGTAAACAATCGCGCACTTGATTTTGAACCTCACAGTTGCGACGACAATGACGTCAAGCTGGAGACAGTTGTGTCAATACCATATATGGCCAGCCACGCGATCGGTATCAACGATTAATAACAGTATTGGCTTTGATACATAAAGTAGATACGAGTTGTAATTGGTGCAAAGTTGTGTGTAGCACAGATAACGGCAATCCGATTGGTGGATTTTATTGACTAATAACTAGAATTCGCAGCGTTTCTGTATTAAGGTATATTTAAGGGCGGCAGTCGTCGTGCCGCGTCCTGTTCGATATGGTGACTCATAGCGACGTATACAACGAGTGCGACGACCACCGCGCTTTAAACTGCAGGCACAGTCTTGCCCTGAAGTCAATAGCTGTAGCTGGGGTCGTCGGAGTGTTGCCGTGAGGCGGCTCTACCTGGCAGAGAGTGGAAAGAGTACCTAAATCTGCCTGGTGCGTATAGTTATTGCATGAAAAGACGAACATCTCGATTCCCTTATAAAATAATAATAATATTAATATTAATGACGTTGAAATGGATAGTACACACAAGTTATTGTACCATGCGGAGGGGGGTAATAACTCGTGCCCATACTCACAAATTCAATAAGCTGATTGATAGCTAGTCCGTACGTCACCATGGTGATATGTGACGTGTTCTGTACAGGTCGAATGTGCTTGGTATATTCGCCATCAAATCCCAAGCAGTGCATGCTTGTGATTGGTGCGCATGCCGTCTGAATTTATAAAAGCAGAACATTGACTTCAATTAGAATATAAATTAATTTATATACACTCTCACATATTATATATAAACGATACAGTAATTCAAAATCAAAATAAATACGTTAAGTTATGTTATGTTGTAGAAATGGACTATAATCATGAAAGTTCACACATCTGCTTATTGTATACCTCGATTATTATGTCAAACTTTGTTTGAATTTCAATATAGTTTATTTGGGGGAAAGTCATTAGCTGGAAATTACCGTTTATAATGAAACCTCCCACCATAGCGTGCCATATCATTATTATATCCTATAACATTTTTAACAAAAGAAATAATGTATGTTTGTGTGTGAATACATGAAATTCGACTTACTGTGCTGAGTTGAGGCATTTGTATCTGCTAGTACGAGTGCAAAGGCTAACACAATGAATGGTACAAGTGTCTTTGATAGTATCTGCATTCCAATGTAGTATTTTACCGATTCCACGACGAGTATAAAGCCCTGCTTACGGTTAGCATCAGCTGTCACAACTGCGTATAAGTTTGAGTAGTGTGTTCAACAAATTGTCCCGGGAACATTCATGACGCTGTCGGTGACGAATGTAAATAGCGAATGAAGATGGTCGTACTTGCCCCTGTGAGTGCATGACCCTATACATCATTGCGTTCAAGCAATTGATATGTACAGTCAACATTAACCTAAGATTTTAATATAAGCGGAGTATTTGATTTACACAGGAGAAGATAGCAGTGTCATAGTAGGGTTCTCTGACTTATCGTCTGGATTCCATTCAGATAAATTTATGGAAAGGTCGCCTTAGTAAAACATCTAAACACCGCAATAAATTATTCAATCAGAAAAATATAGTCGATGCCAATGTTCGTTT